TGGAGTGGACTATCCGGATGTGACTCTGGTGTTGCAGGTAGGCATACCGTCGAGCAAGGACCAGTACGTACACAGGTTGGGTCGTACTGGACGTGCGGGCAAGACAGGACGTGGATTGCTGATGTTGGCTGGTGAGTCATTGTTGTATAGGTCATCATGTCTTTATGTACATGCATGAGAGTGTCGTGTCGTGCATGGACCAGTACGTGCACTGATCGGTCCGTGTGTGGGTAAGATCGGAGTTGGACTGCTGATGTTGGCTGGTGGGTCTTTGTTGTGTAATTTATTCGTCTATATTGCACTCATCGACTGCTCGCAGGATACGTGAGACATATCATGAGAGTAAAGGGTGACAACTGCGGGCGCCTGTCATCTTTTCTGTTAGGCGACTCACTGCAATTGATTGCCTGATAGCAGATCATGTCAACACGTTATTGATATCATACGCTTTTTAAGATTCCGTCGTCTAATTTGTGCTCATTTATTGCTCGCAGAATACGAGAAATCCTTCATAAACACCGTTAAGGATCTCAAATTCGCCGACGCCACACCTGTTCTCAATGCGCATGACGCGGAATGTAAGCAACTGGGTTTATCAAGCTGTGTAAATCTTATTGTGTCTTGTATGTGCGTATCATAATGTATAAATTTTACTTGTGTGTGAATATTCTTGTATGTGCGGATTCGATTGAAACAGCTAGTTTGTACCGATAGGTTTTAACAGTTTGAACTAATACTGAGCATAGGCTGTTGATCGTGGTACGCCCTTGGTGTCATTAGTAGTGCCGGCCCGGCTGCGACTCGCGCCGACATGCGGTACCTCGCAGAAATCCCCACTTATCGCACGCAGCAGTGCAGTATGAGTGCCTGAGAATCTGTATTCTTATCGCCACCTGCTCACAAGTTGGATGCTTATACGTGCTTCGATCCTGTCACGTATGCGTGTGCACACAGGCAACGACAATGAAATTGCCAGGGCGTCTATGAAGAATGTCGATGCAAAGTTGAAGGCGCAGGCATACTCGGCGTGGCTTGGATATTATAAGGGCTATGCCAAACAGTTTAATTTGAGCAGTTCCCAGCTTGTGGAGCTTGCTAACCGATATGCGGCTGAAGGTATGTGCCAAACTCGTGCGCGCACAAATTCACATGTATATATTTACCTATCTACATATACATGCCAAATTGTTTATCTATGTATATTTCAGTTCACTTTCGCAATGGTCGTCTTGGATAGGTGATTAATATGGACCTTGCGAGCGTACATGTATAAAATGCATCTATGGCTCGTACATCGAGAACTGGCCTTGCGTAATATGTAAATTGACATGTGAGGTATATCTATTCCACCTTTCGCTTGTCGCTTGTGGTGTGGATACCTCCCACATCCTCTCATCCTAGCGCCAACAATGTGAATTTTATCACAACGGTTGAATATGAGCGCATGCCACCGTTTTTTCACATGGTCGCAAGCCATGCTTGGTACTTCCCATAGATCGTTTTCACAACATAGTGACGTCATTTTGACGTGTGTTCACAGATCATATTTTAATTTGGAAGCATTTGGCACTATATGAGCCTACTAATTTTATACACGCCAGACTTGCCATTCTCGCAAATTTCTGAACTGATCCGTGTTTTGTATTTTTTTTTGTATCACGTTCTCCCACGCGCAGTGCTTCATCTGCCCGAGCCACCAGCCCTCAGCAAACAACTCGTTGGCAAAATGGGGTTCAAAGGTGTGCCCGGCATCAGGATAGAAAGCGCAGATCAGACAAAGCATGCACGAGCCGCGTCATCTCGGCCATCACAACACGGAGCGGGTCGACAACACGGCCATGTGGGAGGTCATGGGTTGGTACATGACGGTCGCGTGCGTGGAAAGATGTAACATGGGCAGGATTAAATTGGAATAGTATGGAAGTTGTGATAAACGCACCCAAATCGACTGCGCAACCGGGTGCAAAAAAGACTCCGTTGAGTGTTATCAAGTACCCGTCTTGTACACGCTGTGTATGACGTTGGGACGAGAAAATGTATTGAGTGCGAACCGTGCGAAGTGCTCCATGCACGCTGGTTATTAAGCTAGATTGTGCGGAACTCGATAGAGGGAATGTGGAAATCTTGGTATAGGTGTGAACGAGATTGATGAGTATAAATTTAGAAATTGTGGGATAGAGGCAGAGATCAACAAGCCGAGAAGAAAAACACGCGGTGTGACTTTGATAGTCGATATCTTATAGCAGGCCAGGGTTGTAACGCGCCCGGTTATGGTAACCAAATGTCTTTAGTCCAGGTGTATTTCCGGATGCAGAAGTGATTCAGTGCGCAAGTATGACTAGTAGCCAGTGTGTCCTTACTGCCTCGATCCCCTAGTGGTTCCCCAGTATATTTAAGAATACATAATAATATTAAAATTTTTAAGAATACATACATAATGAAAATAAATAACTTGATGTATATTTTTTGCTTCAATTTGTTGTAAGTACTGAATGGTACCAAGTCAATATACATTATTGAGGCAGAGAATAAGTGTGCATCGTAGATACGAAATAGATGCGTTTGTCTTCAATTCATTTCCATCAGCCTGGAAGTACACTAGAACTTATGGCTATATTCGACAACGTTCACGCTGTGATCGACACACGAGCTCATATAAACTGCTAGTATTTACGATTTTAAATAGCGATATTTGGATCAGCTAAAATTGATTTGCAAAATAGGAATGTCCCCGTACGGCAGAATCAGATTTTGTGCACAATTAATTCCCAGTCAAGTTTTATTTCACACCCCGGCCAAGCACAAACTAAATTCTGACCTATTGCCCTATTGTTTTGTCCTTTCTTTGGGTCTCAGGGCAGGAAATTTTTTGCCGATATTTTTTTTTTAAATGAACGGAAAACGTGCGTGTCACGAGAAATAGAAGCTCAGTAACCTGTCAAATCATTAATGAACACTTTCTCCCTTTGAACACCATCGGTTTATCATAAAGAGGTTATTGCAGCAGTAGATGGCATCAGTAGTATACATAGTAGTAATTAGGTAATCAACGATAATTGATTATGGATTCACAATCAGATCAGCGAGGTCGCGGCAGAGGTCGGGGTGGACGTGGTAGAGGCAGAGGTAGGGGAAGAGCGAGAGGAGCATCTATTAACAATTGTAGCAATAATGACGATAATTTCAACAACTATGATACCACCTACAACGGTGACCAACAAAATGATAATGGTTACTTTCAGCAACAGCAACGAGAAAATAGCCGAGTTCAAAGCACACGAGGTGAACCCCGTGTGAATGAAAACAGAAAAAGACATGCCGACGAAGATACAACATTGTCAGCTGATTCAAACCAGACTGGTGCTATCCAGGGGATGGATACAACCGGTTTGGTTCCGTTTGGAAATCTTCACTTCGATCAGAATACAATGCGAGCTGTCCAGGAAGTGTTCAAGTATACGCACATGACGCCAGTACAGGTGATTTTGGTGGTGTATTGTGAACTTTTGTAAAGCGGGATGCGCACCCAATATTTGTGACGTTATCTGGGTATTAACTATTCGCAGCTGTGCATGCAAGCACAGGTTCAATAGAAATATACCCAAATACTTATTTCAATACCAATGTATGGACTTATTTGTATTTATGAATATTAAAGTATAGTTTTATACATATACATATAATATATATATGTAGTTAATTTATATGTATATATATATATATGTGTGTGTGTGTGTGTGCGTATGTATGTATGATTATTTTTATAATCACGGTTGTGTTTACGTATATATATATATGTATATTTATGTATATATTGTTATTCAATACGTATATAAGTATATATATATATATATGTATCAGGTAAGTAGAAACTTATATGATTATACATATATTATTCATATATATATATAACTATAGTTGTGGTCAGATATGAATATTCAAGTATGTTCATGTATATACATTCTTCGTTTGTATATTGACATGCTTGTATACATGTATATCGATATATATATACGTGTGTGTGTGTGTGTGTGTGTGTGTGTGTGTGTCTATACATATATATATATATATGTAGCTATAGTTGTGGTCAGATATGAATATTTATGTATGTTCATGTATATACATTCTTCGCTTGTATATTGACATGCTTGTATACATACGTATATATATGTCGATATCCATATATATCTATATTTCTATATATATATGCGTGTGTTTGTGTGTGGGCTTGCTGTTGTAGTCTGTTTGTATATATTTGTATTCTATATGTGTATATATGAATATGTACACCCATGTTTGTATTTATATAGGTATATATCATACGTATATATATATAGTAGTGTGTTTATATATATATAGATATATATTTATATATATATAGACATAGTGTGTGTGTGTGTGTGTGTGTATGTATATATGTATTTCCGATCTGGATTTTTTAGGAACCTCCATAGTTTGAGTTGGAGTACTCTAGTGAATAGCAAACAAATCTAGGATTGACTTTGTGTGCACGAATCGGGTTTTATTTGTATGCATTAATTGGGTGATAATCTATCGGTGTGCACTTGAAACATCGCTTTAATCCGTCCTCGGATGTTGCACAGAATGCTGTGCACCTTTCTAACTTGCCATCACAAAACGCTCCTTCGTTTTTGCAGTCCATGACACTACCCACGATTTTACTAGGCAAGGACGTACTTGCAAAAGCTCGCACAGGAACCGGTATGCTACGTGATATTGTTTTTGTTTTTCTGCTCCCTAGTTTGTTTCTTTTTTGTTCTCGAGCACATGTCATTTCGCTTACGCTTGTATATGCATCTCCTTGTCTTACCTCTTCACAAAGGGTTTCTCGTTGTGGTCCAATATATACCTGTGCGCGAATGGAATATATCCATGCACTAAGAATAATTTGGGTGACGTATGAGGGAATCTAACACCATTCTTTTGAATATATATATGTACCTAATCCTGCACACACCTTCGTATCGGCACCAGGTAAGACACTGGCTTTCTTGATTCCCTCTATCGACCTTATGGTGAAGCATCCCCGCAAGAGCAGAACGGACATCCAAACCGTCATCATCTCGCCCACTCGAGAGCTAGCGACCCAGATATTCGACGAGGCCTCGAAATTGACCAGGTTCCACCCTCAATTAAGGTAGACCGGATGTGTTTTTGTGACCTGCTGAACCATTTTTGCCCAGAACTTCTTGTGATTGTCCCGATTTGTTTGGCCTTATTTCGAGGAATACCTAAATGTCATACACTACACGATAAGGCTATGATATTTGTCTTGTCTAGTTTGTGGTTGTATCTGAATACCATACTTTAAGAAGTTGTTGCGCGCCCTGTTTCCATGCTACGGATGTCCTATATATTTTGACGCCCTATGTGTAGCATTTTCCCAGGCAGATTTTTACACACAAGGGAGCAGCGCTCCTTTCATTAAGCGTTTGTCCCCGCATATCTCTGATGTATATACACTTCTATCCGTCTGCGAGGCATGTGTATGAGCTAGGAACTCGAATTCTTATCTCACTACTCCTAATGTTTGTATACAGGTCAATGGTAATGGTGGGAGGCATACCCATGGGTAAGGATTTACGGGCGCTCAAGGAAGGGGGCGCGTCTCCCGATATTCTGGTAGCCACACCAGGGCGATTGCAAGATCATCTCAGCAACACTCCCCACTTTGCCGACTCTATGCGTGGCATCAAGATGCTGATCCTAGACGAGGGTGACCAGCTCTTAGATATGGGGTTCAGACGCGAAATCGAAAGGATTGTGAGGTACGGATACTTTTTACTCAGCTGGATGGATGTGTTTTATTTGTATTCAAGATTTTATAGAAATTGCTGATCTCATGATTCATCAAAATGTTACTTGTTTGCTGATCTTCTCCATTCGAAATCTCAAATTGTCAATATTTGGATCGGGTTATCTACTTTCCTGTTACAGCCATCTCCCATCAAACACCGGTGCACACCCGAGACAATCGCTATGCTTTAGCGCTACCGTGCCGCCAGTGCTAGCCAAGGTCCTCAGCACTGCACTACGCAAGGAGTACGTGTCCATCGACTGTACCACCGTGGCCGTAAGTTGTTGATTCTACAGGCTGTATCACGCGATGGACTAGCACGTGTATATATGTATATATCATATATATATATATATATATGAATATATATGTGTGTGTGTATGTGTATGTATGTACGTATGTATGTATATCATATATATATATATATGTGTGTGTGCGTGTGTGTGTGTGCGATAATGAAAGTGCTTCCCTGAAACAGTAGCGTTCTCTCGCAATATCAACGTTCGTTTTAGGACAACAACTTTGTACATCCGGCAGTTGTATTCGGACTTTTCGGTTGCATCTCTGCCTTTGCTGAGTTTACTAATCGCGTGCCTGCTTGTAACTTTTTTGTAACACAGGGCGGGAAGTCGAACGACACACATGACACCACTAAAGTACCTCAGGCACAAGGGCTGGTGGACTTCAACGACGTGTTCGTAGCCACGTGCATGGCCATAGGAGATGAGATCGAGCGTAACCCGACCGACCACAAAATCATTGTGTTTTTGCCTACTGCTCGTCAAGCGGGGGTATGTGGATGCGGGCGTTCATATGCTATGACATATATCGTAGAGCGCGTATCTTGTCAGCGTCTTAAATTCACTGCGTGATTGTTTTGTTTGATATACCCCTATATGCCTCTCGTTGTCGAAGTTGTCTTCTCACCAGCCTTTCTGTTCAGAGTTTATATAGCACGCTAAAATATGGGTCAACTAAAAGGCCCCGAGTATCTAAATTTATTTTCGTTACTTTCCAAAGAACACGTTTTTGATCTGAATCTAATCGACAGTACGCCCCTATCCGTATTCACATTCGCGTTCGCAGTTCATCGCCAGCATGCTCGAGAACTGGTTCAACGGCAGAAGCAACCCCTTAGGCAGAAACCGTACGAGTGTTTATGAAATCCACAGTCGTAAGAGTATGCCACAGAGACAGAAAGTCTCTGCTGCCTTCCGCACAGCTCAACACGGTGTTATGGTGAGCTCAGATGTGAGTGCCCGTGGTGTGGACTACCCGGACGTCTCGTTTGTGCTGCAAGTAGGTACACCTGTGAGCCAGGAACAGTATGTACACCGTCTGGGACGTACTGGAAGAGCAGGAAAGACGGGCCGTGGATTGATACTACTAGGAAGTGAGTATGGGGTTACCCTTGATTTCCGAACGTCTTGTGTACCCGCCGTATGTGTGTTAGTGTTAGTGTTGGAGCCTGTGGCTCAGAGTGGAAATTTCGTATGTCACGTTTATGTCGCAATTAGGTACACCTGTGAGCCAGGAATAGTATGTCCACCGCCTGGGACACTTTGGAAATATTCTGATGACGGGCCTTGTATTGATCCTGCGAGCAAGTGTCTGTGGGTGCCCTCGTAGTTTTGTGTGTAACGGTTTACTTGCCTTGTGGATGTGTGCTCTAGTTAGTGTTCGTGTGTGAGAATGCCATATATTTTGCGTGGATATACGGATTTTCACTTTCTCTGGCCGGTTTCGCTTCATAATGCACCTGGATAACTGCATAGGTCAGACTCATTTTCTCGACTGGTTTGAAGGCCTTTATTATGTCTGATATAACCTGTCAGACCATGTTTATTGTACCTCTCCTGCAAGTTTTTGTTTTATCATTTATTTGTATCCAATACATTGAAACTCATACATTTCTACTTCGCTACAGCTTTCGAGAAGGTTTTCCTGAATAAGCTGAAGGCATTCAAGGTGGAGGATGGACTCCCGAGTTTATTGGCCTTCCTAAGTAAACGTAAGTGTGTCCAATGACACGAGTGCCTGGAAATAAAATATGAAATTTGTGATTAGTAAATCTACGTATATGTCATGGCGTGTTGATGGTGGATGTGGTGCAGTAGGTTGCTACACCGTAGGTTTAATCTGGATAGTGTGCAAATTATAGTGGGGCATTGTCATATCAAATGCCATGCACGTGTCACGTGTGCACTGTGTAATAACAGTGTAATTCTTTATCTCGAGTAGTTTGTAGACTGTACTGCAATTGTTGACGCGTAGGTGAATGTTGGGACGGTTAAAAGTAGCACCAACACAATTCAATATATTGTTTACGCCATGTATCAGTGCATCGAAGTGTTCTGCGGTACATTCATTTATACACGGCTATAGTTGGTAGTTGTCGAGAGCATAGCACAACTATAGGGATCGTATCGCACGAACACTCAGTGTGTGTGTCGTATTTGGTGCTGACTACTATGGCGTACGCGCGATGAGATACTCCCGTTGCCACTCGTACGAGAAGCAATTGGTATAGTTATATATCCTATATGCATGCATGCATGCATGCCTGACTTATGCGACATAAAAACCTGGTGGTCAATGAATCTGTGCCCATTGACGATTCCTATGATATCATATCAGCGTTTAGCGTGAACGTATTATTCGATAGCTTACACAGTTATGGTTGATATTGACGTATCACACCTTGACTCGCTGTACACTAACCCTTACTAGTTTAGCTCGTGGTACGTTGCGTAGTATTATCACGCGCACCCGTGCGTGTCCGGGATAGCTAACGAACACCGATTCTGCTTGTATTATACTGTATATTCGCAGATGGGGACATCACAGATGTTCTCGATGCCATCCGGGCCATCGACCGCAAGCTGAAAGAGCAGACGTATCAAGCGTGGTTGGGCTACTATAAGGGTTATTGCAAACCCTTCAACTGGACATCCGCAGATCTGGTGCAGCACGCGAACCAGCTAGCCATTGAAGGTATTTAAATTGATATATCGATGTGACTGGATTTTTTTCAGGGGATTTTTTGTGGCTCAGCAAAACAGCTGTGGTACTAATAAGTAAAAGCACCGGGGTGTATAGCTGTCCCAATCACTAACAGAGGCGACTCGTGTCGAACAAGGATCTGTACATGGTCCTCCACTGGCGCGAAAGTGTCTGATTTCTTATCTACAACCATACTTCATTTTTGAAATGCATTGCGACTGTGGTTGTTATTTTCCTCGCACAAAAACGGTGACTACCAACTATCTGTGTGCTTTTTGGTTAACATCAAACTCGATCATCCCTGTCGGTCCTACTCGCATCCCTGTTGCTCTTGGCTGCAATCTTATCATCATCATATATCCAATTCACCTCGTCCAAACTCTTAACCACATGCATATGGCATCATATCAATACGTGCTCCATACTGATACTCCCTTTTGCAGGCATGGGTCTTGATTCTGTTCCAGCCCTACAGAAGTCGACAATTGGAAAAATGGGGCTCAAAGGTGTGCCTGGCATCAACATCGACCCAGTGAGTAACCAGGGCGGCGGTCGTGGTGGTGGTCGTGGTGGTGGTCGTGGTGGTCATGGAGGGGGACGAAGATAGGAGTGATAGATAATATGTATCTCTAAGCATTTATATAGTGCTCGACTGAGGATTGTCTGGATACCTCCGATGCTTTAGGTGCAGAGTAGCAGTGTGATGGAAGGGGGGGAGGGGGCAGCATTATGCGAATGCGAATCGCGCACCACCAACTATCGATTAGCTTAGTGACTCTAGTGATTTCGGAAGTCAAGGGGAGATTATCGTGAAGATAGTGCGCTATTCTGCAACAAGACTATTAGTGTCGGTTATATATGTAAGTCTACCAGTAAAGCTGCGGGCGTTTGGCAAGTCGACTTTTCTTTTGATAGGGGATAAGATTGGTCACATTAGAGATACGCGATCATGCCAGGAAGGCCGTCGTTTCTAGGATAACAATGGACAAAGAGCACTCGGTCTTCTCATGCGATAAATACATGATTGAACCTGTGGAAGTAAATAGTGGCCTCTGGGTGCCTTGTGGGAGTCATTCGGATGCATGCGCTGAAACTTCGTATTTCTGTGCTGATCGTTAGTTTGCGAAGAGCTTTCTGCAGCGTGGAGCGTGTGCGGAATAAATATTAGAATGGGTGGAAGAGAATAAAGACGAAAGATAGCAAAGAGTGTTATAATTGGATATGGAGTCAATTGCTATATATTAATGCGTGTTTACTGAAACGTGGGCACTGGAGCGATTTCGATGTGAATCAGATTTTAGCTCCACGTTTTAATCTGTCTTATTACTGCTGTATCGTAATATTCAATTGCGTAGATACGCGACCCAAAATTTGAAGGATGCCTCAAGTATTGTTTATGTTTGATTAGAGAGGCAGGACGCCTGTCAATCCTATCCGATGCCGTCTGGGTAGTTCATGCTTATTTTAGATCTACGTACTCTTTATGACCCTGCAAATTTTAGTCAGCTGTGTACATCGTTTTTTATGTGAATCGTACATATATGAATTGCATATTATCTGTGCAGGCCCACTGTCGTAGATATTATATCTTCCCTCTTTGAATCACGCTTATGTCTTTGAGTAGGCGTTTATAAATCCTTCTGTGCTTGACCGCTTCTAGTATCTCTTCATCGGAAATGACACATTTTCGCCATTATAAACTAGATGACATTTCGTCCCTGGCCTGTACCGCAGACTATTATGGCAACAGCCAAAAAAAATACTGCAAATTCCGCCGGTAGGTACGTAGTATTCCCATTGTCATTTTCTTCGGTAAGAAAACATCAAATATAGATGTCTCCGTACCGGTATTCATGGTGAAGCTGCAATCCAGTACCACAGTTTCCCATTGACGTTCAATTTTTTCTATCGAACGAGATATCTTGTTACCAGTGTTATCCCTATATATGGGTCTGCTTCAGGTCCAATGAGCTCCAAGTTGTCCTCTCCACTCAGCCCTGATTTACAGTTGGTATTGAATGTACACGGTTCATATCGCCATACGAGCCCGGTGTCTTACAATAGCTGTTGGCACTTACAGGCTTATTAGTAAAACTTGTGTTACGCCACAGTTCTAAAATTTAAAAGAGAGCACTGGACGAAATTTGTTTCACCTGCCGAAAGCAGAAATGTACATAAACCGTATGAAACATGCAAATGCCCTGACCGACATATTTGTTCTACAAATATTGTGTGATGTATTTGCTATGTTGGCCTACAATCTGTAACCTATAACGTCTAAGTATACTTTGTCTAAGAGAATATAATATAAGCATTGAGGCCGTTAAATGATCGAACCCCGTTTCTTTTCTTTTCGCTTGTACAATTCATGTGAGCTTTTTGAGTCTATGTGCTAATACCACATATAAGCCAACATTGGCATTTTCAAGCTGAAGGGGGGGGGGGGGGCTATGTAAAAATAGCGGGTTCCTAATAGTAGTTGCACAGTTAACGTATATTATAAACGTATGTCGTATTAACGTTTCTACTTCTAGTCCTGGAATACGTTTAATAAGCGACCCGAAGTGGTTAAGATCTATCCACAGACATCATTCATTCCCAGCTTTAAACAGCATGAAATGTACGTACCTCCAAAAGGCATTAAGAAACGTCCCATCCACCATCGGGGACCACAAGGACCAAAGCCCAAACGTAATAGAGTATCCGAGTAACCTATAACGTCTAAGTATACTTTGTCTAAGAGAATAAAATATAAGCATTGAGGCCGTTATATGATCGAACCCCGTTTCTTTTCTTTTCGCTTGTACATTTCATGTGAGCTTTTCGAGTCTATGTGCTAATACCACATATAAGCCAACATTGGCATTTTCAAGCTGAAGGGGGGGGGGGGGGCTATGTAAAAATAGCGGGTTCCTAATAGTAGTTGCACAGTTAACGTATATTATAAACGTATGTCGTATTAACGTTTCTACTTCTAGTCCTGGAATACGTTTAACGAATTGGACATGAACAAGAATGGCGTAATTCAAAATTCTGAACATGTGACAGTACTCATTAGAGTAGGGGACTCTACTGTGGACAATAAGGTGCCTTTCCAAATATAGATTGGTTTTTCCACTGAAATTATAATTGTACATAATATAGGAACGACATCAATCTGACACCTGAAAATGACACTTTAGGAACCTCTAATTAATAGGAGTACCATGAGAGAGGGTCTCAGGCCTGAAATGGTTGTTGGTACAAATCCATAGTATAATTCGATAATGATCTCAGAGCAAGATAATCCACTGAGAAAAGGACAGGATCAGAGTTGTTAGAACTTAGGACAACATGGTTTCGATTCCTCCTAGCCAGCCAACTAGATGTGTCCGTCTAAGCCTTAAATGGGATGGGGAGCTAGGTATCAAGTGATGGGGTTTGGGTGCAGATGTATACTGCACCGACTTGGTGTTTTGATTTTATGTTTTATTTTCTTAAGTTGGACTTAGAAGTATTTTATTGGTTAGGTTTGATTAGGGGATTGTTTCGAGGCGTGAAATGTAAACTAAGCGTCCAATGAAATGATATCTAGTCTTAATAACTAAAACAGAAATAAATCTAGACCGAAGTAGTGAGTGATTAGAGCGGAGCATATAGACGATAGTCTCAGTCTATAATCTCCTAATCTTTTGCTCATTACCAAGGGCTGAAGCTAAACTTATTTAACATTTTGCATTTTAACGTTTTAACGTATTGTCTTATTAACGTAAACGTCTTGGTATCGTATAGTCAGCCTAGAGGAGACCGACTTTTACATACGATTTCTTCGTGTTTGTTTCCAAAATATGCCATTTTGTCACTTGTGTGCCAAAAAAACAGCAGCAACCTGTTGACTTCGTTAGACAGTCGTTGACACGTGTTGTTACCATGCACACTCGTAGTTTGGTTGTGAATGATTACTACATGTTTTCAAATAGTATTTCCTTTTTATTTTTTAATAGTCATATCGACCACACTTATTTGCGACTCGAATTAGCGTAAATCATCCCAAATATAGCTCCTACCTGGACTGAAAATATTGTGATGATTTATGATTCTATTTTTAGAATGTATGCGGATGTTACAAAAACATCGTAAAATTGACTTTATCTTGTAAGCTACAGCTGATGAATACGATAAGCAAGTATGGTAGCTAAGCAAGTATGGTAGCTAAGCAAGTATGGTAGCTAAGCGTGCCTCTAGCAGGCTTGTAGAGGCCCCTAAAAAGAAGGCTAAGTACACAGACTCGTGCGCATGTGGCAATAAAGATTGTATCAAACCAGGTGATCGTATAATTTCACTATCTAAAGCTTTAAACCCCGACTCGAAACACCATGTTAAGAAATCAGATGCTGAATCTAGTATGGTAGCTAAGCGTGCCTCTAGCAGGCTTGTAGAGGCCCCTAAAAAGAAGGCTAAGTACACAGACTCGTGCGCATGTGGCAATAAAGATTGTATCAAACCAGGTGATCGTATAATTTCACTATCTAAAGCTTTAAACCCCGACTCGAAACACCATGTTAAGAAATCAGATGCTGAATCTAGACTTTGGTTATATAAACTACAACCTGCAGCTACACCTGGGAACCTTCAAAGGAGACTACAAGATATACGCAACCCCAAATGTAGTACCGTTCATAGAGTTCCAGTGGGATAAAGATTATCAACTGAATACTGTTACTAAACTGAAACCGAGTAAGGATGGTATCATAAAGTGTATATGTACATTAGGGGAAGATGAGTGTGGTGAGAACATCAAGTTTGAGAACGAAGTTATTTGTGAAGAGAGTGGTGTTAGATGTTAGAAGAGTAAAACTGTACTATAATCAGATAAACAGTGCAGTAGGTGGTTGCAATCTCTTCATACACAGGAGACACTTTACTAAGGACCAGTACACGGACACAGGAAAGCGTGTTATACTTAAGGGTGATGCCTTCGTTCCGTGTGCAACACACACAAACTCCTAGAGCGAGGGCTTGTCCTTCTGAACGAAAGGAAATTGGAAGTCTTGTTTCTCGTGTGCACTATAGCATAGCAACTCGAAACGGTGCGTCGAGAATGAAGAGCGATAGTATGACACCCTCTAGAGTTAGTGATATACTAACACCTTTGTTCCACGAACAAAGAACTAAGATACGCGCACAAATTGAAACAGAACAGCGAGATCGTGAGAAGGAAGCACTTGGAGAACATAGTGGCATTAGTGCATCCCTCTTCTTTAAGAAGTTAGAACTACCGGCCTTCTGTCAGAAAGTTACAGGCGAGCCTAATTTGACAGTTTTGCGTATGCTGTTTAAGTATTTCAATCACAATGGTAGGTTGGTAGAACTTACGCTGTATAATAGTGAAGTTCGAAAACGTGTAGCAAAAGCGATGGAGCTTACCGAGGAAGACCTTGATCAAGAGGAGGAAGTGGAGACATCACGCAAGGGTTCACAGAAACTTTCTGTGTGGGAACAATTTGTATTGTTTATGGTGATATTTACGTATTGTCGTGATACTATGACTGTCGCCAGTGCATTGTTCGACGTGCACGAGTCTACCGCGCGTTGGTATTATATCACTTACACCATAGCTATGTTTCCGACAGCACAGCAGGCAGCAAAATGTACACCGGAGCGCACGAAAGTAGCACTTGACCTGCATGATAATATTGCACTATACATTGGGGATTGTACCGGAGAAAAGATTGAATTATCTGCTTGTGTCTCAAACGATTTGTATTCTGCAGCATTTAGTGAGTACAAAAACTGTACAACAGTTAAGCACAATGTTATCTCCTGTGGGAATACATATGTGCGTGATATCACTAAAGGATATTGTGGTGCATCCACCGATAACGGTATACATAACAACGAATTGTATGGGAGTAGAATGAGATGTCTCAGCAGTGTAGCTGATGAGGTGGCAAAAACAATACACATTTGTTATTTATACGATAAGGGACTGACTGACAGGTACGAACTCGAGAGTCACTTGATATATGTATGCACGCCACGAGAAAAACAGAATGGTCAGCTCACGTTTTCTCAACAGCGAGCAACAGATGACAGATCAATTGCGCGAGAGAGGATCAATATCGAAAGGAATATGAAAGAGTTCAGATGCTATTCTGCTATCAACTCATTACATGGAAGAGTTTTATCATTATCCAAAGTCGATTAGGCTAACTATGAGATCCAGGTGGCTAGGGAACTTGTCAACTTCAAAGCACCGAATACAGATTGGTGGCAAAACAAGCCAAGTAGTATTGGCCCAGATTTTACACATATAGAACCAGAGTTGACAGCGATACACATTGAAAATATTGTTGACTCCAGCTTTATTTGATTTAGTTTAAGTCTATGTCTAATAAATACAGATCGAGTATAACAACAATCTTCAATCCCCGATCTTTATTCGTGTTTGTTTCTATCTTGGCAGCACGATATGAAAGCAATAATTCAATTTCCTCCTGTGTTGGCGGCTCTCGCAGGAGGTTTCTATGTTTATAAGAGATTGGATTAAATTGCTCGCGAACATGTCCACAGCAAATCTCTGCTCATCTCTGTGTATCCTGCTATCAAGTCTGTGAATGGCTGGTTGGCGTTTACTTTTTTACCCTTTGATCGTTTAATCCAAGTCTTCACCCCATCCGTGGATCCAGTTGATCCTAATTCCACCATGCGTTCTAAGACAGCTCTAACATGTACACAATCTGTATGATTGTGACACGGACTAAATTCTTTCAGCTTGGCAGCTGTCAAGCCAATTTGATAAGTACAGAAGCAATCTTCCACACTTGATACAACTTTATCGCCCGAAGTTGGATCCTTGTCTACAAGCAGAACACATATTACATTCAATAATTCTTGACGCATAGATCTTGAGACCTTCCCCTTGAATCACATAAGTTGCATTTTCTTTTTATCCTCGTCTATGCAGTCTTTATATGTACACGTCAGTTTTACAAGTCTTCGCGCTTGTTGCTCACCAGCTCTTTGAGTGTATCCTGCAGCTCCAAAGTAATGCTTCACTAACTTAATAGAAATTGACACCTTATTGATTACATTCTGGTCGTAAGCTTCAAACCCACATTTATTGAATCATTCGCGCACGTCCGATTCAAGCTGCATACGCGATGCTAATAAAGCTTTTGGCAATTCAGGTACTATCTTCTTTTTAATGACAGTCTTTGTTGCAAGCATGTTGTAGCTAAGATAGTCTACCATCATCACTTTGGACTCATATGCCTTGGGTAGTGACGATAGATCGCTGACGTGCATACTGACGTAAATCATCCTTAGTCCACGCTGCAAAGTGTATCATATCTTTTGCAAAGTCGATACTCTCGTGTGGTAGTGGTGGTAGTCCAATCTTGTCACTCACCACACACGCCCATGGTTGTGCAGTTATGCCATACATGCCTCGCACCCAGTTGCGTACTTCTGATACTGACATTTGGTAAACTAGAGAAGATGTCTTTGTGCGTATATCTTCGGGTGTAAGCTGCAATAGTGCAAGCTTTCGTTCCATGTATTTTATTTAGAAAGGGTATAAACCTATCAGTGTAATAGCCGGGCCTCCACATTAGACTCTATGTTATAAACGTACTCTTAAGCAGTACGTATACTAAAAACGTACTCTTAATAGTACAAGGAACTTAAGTTTCCGAAATGGTTCTTAATGGTTTTATTAATTAATAACTTTTCCATTTTACATTTCAGATATTTGGACAAGGCCATTAAAAGGCCCCAGTAAAATACCAAACAAAAGATTTGATCTAGTTCTATTAATAGAACTATATTTACTTTCCAACTTTATTTATATCTGAATACTTCGGTAGCGAGATGGCTCAACCGAATATAGGTTTCTAGGGACTATTAACGTTACCTAGTTGATCCTCCGATCAGCCAACCAGATGTGCCAGTCTGATGAAGGCTAAGTCGGTAATTCTTGATAAGTGGCAAGTTATTGGTTAAGACAATAACTAAGGACATCAAGAGTTTTTTTCTTTTCTTCTAAAGATAGGATTTTATGAGTCTCTCGGATTCGCCCCAGAATAGAGCGACAACGAAACACTAAATAAAATCCCTTCGGCGGAAACAGTACTGAGAGGATTATATATAGGCAATGTCTCAGCCTCACAATCCCTCAGAGTAATGCTGTTTTCACGATTCATACCTAACTTTACTAAAAGTCTCATTTCGTTTATTTACTTTAAAACTTTCATGATACTTAGAAATTACCTACGCATTTATTTATTCTAAGGCGTTAATATCGCCTTGATAGACCGAATCTTACACATTTTAAAGTTAGCAAAGGTATTAATTACGTAGACTACTTAAGCGTAAAGGTAGATTAACTACCACAAAATTATTCTTGTCCAAGCTAGTCCTTAAGAGACAAGCTAGTAGTCATAAGTTAAGATTGTGACCAAGAAAGACAATACTCCTTCTAAGAAGCGTAGAGCTGAAAAAAAGAAGATGGAGAGAGAAGCCGCTAGCGCTGCCGATGCGTTTAACCGCAAAGTAGCCGAAGCACTTGCCTCCGACAATAATAGTCTACAGGACAATGCTTCAGATAAGGATGTAGCCATTCCGATTAAGGAGACTACTCCCACTGACAGAGCCCGAGGGCCAACTATTGCCTCAACTTCAAAGCTTGCATTTACGAAGCCAAGAAGTGAGACAAGGGACACGTCTCAAGACGACCCAACCAATTCTTCTGACGAAACTCAGAAAGAAAAATTCCCAATTATAAGGGAGTCCCCATTTATAGGGGACAAGGACAAATATCAGAAGGAACCTATAACGGAACCAGAAGAAGAGGCAAGCTCAAGTAGCAAACCCGAATCTACGTCCGAGATTACTAAGCCAGCGCGCATAAGTAAGTTAATTACTGAAAACACTAATCTTAAGAATCAGTTAGCCAACCTTATGAAAGACTTGACTGTTGAACATGTAGATCGATTGTATAGATCAGGAAAACATACACAGCACTTACGCGAGCATGTTTCTCCGGGCATTACTGAAGCCCTACAGAAGTGGACAGAACGTCGATGATTCGAGCGCTACACCTGTGGCATACGAGCCAGATGTGCTCAGCGTATCTATACCTTACGAGGTACTACCACCAGAACTTCAGGCTAATTACTCGCCTGTTCTGACACCCGGCCGTGAGTCACCCGACCTTGAGGGTATTATAGACCCAGAGGCAGGTAGAAATACTCCGCCACCTTTACCCAATTGGGATGACAATCGTCGGAAACCAGTTAAGACTGGGTATGTGATCCAGACGCATGAATCACCTAAGATTATATTACCAACCACTATCCGAGGGACAGAGCATCGAAAGGCCCCGACCATGGATTTTACAAGGGGTAATAAACACCCCCGTAAACGTGTTAACGAAGTCGAATTCAATCGCTTCGATCGCACAGCATTGCACCAGCCCGCAGAGGATTTCCACTCTGACGAGGTGACCGAACTTAACAAATCGGTCGACGATTACACCATTGAAATGGAAATCGCCCACGATGCGCATCATGCTGATGATGTCTCATATTTTGCCAATATGATTGCGATTAAGCAAAAGCGCATCGATCAGCTACTTCAGGCCCAACGTGGACAAGACCACAGGGATAACCAGAAGTACAAGGGACAGATCAGTCGACTTAAGTCGAACTGGGATGCCAACAATAAGCAGGTCGAGTTTATAAACAACTATGACCTCGACACGCTACCCCGTACGCTTAATGCGTTTACGGTCATGCTAGAGACGAATGATATCGCTCCCCAGCAATGGATCTCCGCTTTAATGCAGACGTTTGACCCTACAGGTACAAGTTACTTGATCCTGCAGCGACACCAGCATGAGCTAGACACTTGTCGTGACTGGCCAGCTATGTGTTGGTTGGATACATTTTTATTAAGTAAGGACATGCATAGCCCAGGACTGAGTTCAATTTTAACTGAACCAGTTGAGAACACGCTCATTCAGAGTTATATTCTGAAGTTAGATGCTGACCTGAAACGTCCAGATATAACTAAGGACAAGGCACAGTGATTATACGAGTTCCTGGTTATGCACGTGTTCTGTAAGAACATAGGGAATAACGACCGTGAGAGCCTGTACACCGAGTTGCGACGTAAACACGCGACTGAGGCTCGAGACAAGGGACATGAAACAAAGTTTTATCTATCCCGACTTACATGGGAACAGTTTTATGATAATGTATCCACTCTTTTTCCCGCACACCGAGTAACATCGAAGGGAAAAGCGGCTGTTAAGAAGCCGCGGGAGCACACCGATCACGGGTACGTAACCAGGTAGACCTCAAACAAGAGGCCCCAACATTCACGTGCTCGTGACTCCACTCTATCCACGCGACCCAATAAACGGGCACGCGCGGAGGCGAAGGACAAGGAACCTCCATTAAAGGAGATTAAGAAATGTACCGACGCACAGTGTGCGTATGACATGTACCAATTGACCCCTAACGGTTATTGGAATGGCAGGCATGCATCCACCTGTACACACTTTCTTATTAAGTGCGACAAGTGTGAGAAGACCAATGGCTATCACACTAAGTCTTGTGACAAAAAGCCCGACATTAAGTTGGAGTGAAAGTACTACCAGGTACAATCGTTTCACAGACAATACAACGACTCTTTAGATGAGCGTGTAATAATCCCTGTATACTGCAATGGAAATAAAATCCTTGTGTTGATTGATCCTGGTTCAGAAATTTCATGTATATCCGATCGCTTTGCATTAACGAAAGATATCGAAAGGAGAACACAAACTACTCACCTCATTTTAGCTGATGATAAAACTTCTAAGTGTGATACCATGGCCACAGATGTTAAAATCTCCCTGGCCGATGATAGGAGTATCACTACCCAAGCTGTGATAGTTAAGATGTCACAGAAGTACGACATTATAGTCGGAATGAGCGATTTACTCACTCTAGGTATAACCGTAACTGGTCTACCAACTAACATAGATCCATTAAAGGATCAGTCAGACGATAACTGTCTAAATCCATATAAGCCTCCGTCAGACACAGTCAAGGCATTAATACCTGACTTTGCGAACAAAATCATAAATCTGATTCTAGTTAATAAGAAGATAAAGATCACAGATTAGGCAAAATTCCATTTTAACGACGGGTAT